ACGTTCATTAATTGTGCAGTGATCATTCAAGTAGCTTTCCTTCTGGTATGTGTTTTATGTACTACAAATGAAAAAAATAAATAAGATAAAACAGCTATCCCTCGTATTCAAGTTGTACGTGTTGTGCAGTACTACATAGAATAATCTTGCAGTATTCCCTTTATTGCCAGGTGCATCAATGCACACGATCACTTGGGCCTTATTGAGAAGAATACAACTTAAAAGAGAGTTTTAACACAAATGGATAGAAAGATTGTGTTGATTAAAGATGTGTATCAATAATCTCTCCATACATTGGAAGGATGAATCATTGTTGAGGAGATGTTGTGGGTGATACATAGTTGGGAGGGGAAACTGCTGTGGGTGATACATAGTTGGGAAGGTGTTGTGGGTGATACATAGTTGGGAAGGTGTTGTGGGTGATACATAGTTTGGAAGGTGTTGTGGGTGATACACAGTTGGGAGGGGAAACTGCTGTGGGTGATACATAGTTGGGAAGGTGTTGTGGGTGATACAGAGTTGGGGGGGAAACTGCTGTGGGTGATACATAGTTGGGTAGGTGTTGTGGGTGATACATAGTTGGGAAGGTGTTGTGGGTGATACATAGTTGGGAAGGTATTGTGGGTGATACATAGTTGGGAAGCTGCTGTGGGTGATACATAGTTGGGTAGGTGTTGTGGGTGATACATAGTTGGGAAGGTGTTGTGGGTGATACATAGTTTGGAAGGTGCTGTGGGTGATACATAGTTGGGAGGGGAAACTGCTGTGGGTGATACATAGTTGGGAAGGTGTTGTGGGTGATACATAGTTGGGAAGGTGTTGTGTGTGATACATAGTTGGGAGGGGAAACTGCTGTGGGCGATACATAGTTGGGAAGGTGTTGTGGGTGATACATAGTTGGGAAGGTGTTGTGGGTGATACATAGTTGGGAAGGTGTTGTGGGTGATACATAGTTGGGAGGGGAAACTGCTATGGGTGATACATAATTGGGAAGCTGCTGTGGATGATACATAGTTGGGGTGGTGCTGTGGGTGATACATAGTTGGGGTGGTGTTGTGGGTGATACATAGTTGGGAAGGTGTTGTGGGTGATACATAGTTTGGAAGGTGTTGTGGGTGATACATAGTTGGGAAGGTGTTTTGGGTGATACACAGTTGGGAGGGGAAACTGCTGTGGGTAAAACATAGTTGGGAAGCTGCTGTGGGTGATACATAGTTGGGTAGGTGTTGTGGGTGATACATAGTTGGGAAGGTGTTGTGGGTGATACATAGTTGGGAAGGTGCTGTGGGTGATACATAGTTGGGAAGGTGTTGTGTGTGATACATAGTTGGGAGGGGAAACTGCTGTGGGCGATACATAGTTGGG